TTAATCTCCTAAAAATGTTTTTAAATAGACCTTCACACAAAAACTTTTGTTCATGTCGAAACAAAGCAATAACACTAAAACTTTTCCATTGTATTTCAAGCCCTTCTATTTTTTCGGGTCTTCCAGCCTTCTCCACTAGGGAACTCTTTTCCATGGGGTCCTTCACTCCACATAGTGCCCGAGACTTCGACCATCTCAAAAAGTATTCATTCCCTTTAAAATTATTGATAGACAGGCGTTTCATATGAGGGTTCACTGTGTTACAGGAACTTTAACACGCATTTTCTCCTACAACTTCATTGATCCTCACAACATCCTGGAGACTAATCTTTATTACTTTCATTTGAAATTTCAGGAAACAGAGGATGAGATAATTGGGGATTTTCAGAAGTAACACAGCTAACAAGTGACAGAACTGGGATTCTGTCCCAGGTGTGTCTGACTCCTACCAGGCTTGTAACTGTGATGGTATAGATACGTATTTGCACACGCACGCACACGCGCGCACACACACACACACAATCTGGGACACATCAGGGACATTAAAAGACTTCTGTAAATTTTTAGTTTAAATGATACCATCAGGGATATAGAAAAAGAGGGCTTGGGAGGCCAAACTCCAAGAAAAAGGTCTAAGCTTCAAGAAAAATGAGGTGGCACTAATGGGAGCTATTCTGATCTCCTGTGGAGGGAGGCAGGTGAGAAGCTGCTGGTTTATCACCTGATCATACAACCCACGTGGGTGACAAGAGGCAGGTCCTCTTATTCCCAGGTGCTGCCTCACCCATCAGGGGCACATCCCAAGGCCAGGATAAAATGGTCTCCTTGACGCTGTTCCAGTGTGAGATTCAGGAAAAGACTTGCTCATCTCCATAAATAATTAACACTCAATTATTAGTAAAATCTTGTTCAGGACTGCACCCTGTTTAAGGGTAAATGTCCAAATTCCTGCAGTGAAATAAGACTGTGTGTGCTCCCTCTCATTTAAGTCTTTGTCATGTATTCTCAGAAATGACCTGAAGCTGAACTGGATTATTTTCTGTACCTCGATTATGCTTCTCTCTGCAATGCAAGCCATGGTCTCTACGCTTCCAGGACAGAGTGGCTCAATCCCAATTTTTTTCCCTTCCTGTGGCGTATCACTCTAATGACATAATAGTAAATTCTTTGATGGCCTGCCTTGGGTGTTTCATATTTCTTTACCTCAATTATTCAACACAGGGCTATGTGCACAATGGATGTTTAATGACTTTTAAATCCTCTCATTGGTATTAGCATTGGCTTTACAGTTTATAAACAGCTATTCCTTATGACTCAAGCCACCCTCATAGCAGACACACTCTGAGACAGGCTCAGTGAGGTGTGTGGGCCACATCACCCTGAGAGGTCTGCCACCATCTCTCCTGGGTATGACGTTTGTTCTCCTGCTCAGATTGTTCCAAAGGGCTTAGTAATGGGGGAGTGGTCACGACATTGGTTCCCAGGTTGTCACAATGGCAGGTCTACTCAGAAGTTCAACTCCTGGTATCTAGGATGATGGGGCTGGGATGCCATCTGGTCCATGCCTCTGCCTTCATGCAGGGCAACACCCAAGCTCTCAACTGACCTGACTTGGATGTAGGTGATGAGTCAGCAACATGGTTGTATCAGAAAGTCTGGAAATTAAGTCTTGGCTTCGAGAAATCATAGCCTAGATTTCAGGTCAATACAGACATGGTGATCAGCAAAGCATTGATTTTCTGAGGGTCAAGGCATTTGTCTTTTACATCATCAACATTTTTTCATAACATGGGATGGAAGGAAACATTACTGAGATCTAACTGAAAATACCATAGTTAAAGTGGAGTTATATTTTTATCTCTCTGCATCAGAGCCAGCACCAAGGAAACTAGTGATCTTCTTTTGCTTTCTCATCTTGACAAACTCTTAATAATTATACATGAAGGAACTCATACAACTGAATGGCAACAATCAAACAACCCAATTTAAAAATGAGCAAAAGACTGAATAGCTACTTCTCAAAAGACATACAAATGTCCAACAGGCGTACAGAAAAAGGTGCTCAATCTCACTAATCATCAGGGAAACGCAAATCTGAATCACAATGAGATATCACTTCATGCCTGTTAAAGTGGCTATTATCAGAAGGATGAAATATAACAAGTGTTGGCAAGGATGTGGCAAAAAGGGAATTATTGTACACTGTTGGTGGAAATATAAATTGGTACAGCCATTATGTAAAACCATATGGAATTTCCTAAAAAGAAAATAAAACTACTTCATGATCTACTAACTCCACTTCTGGAAATAAAATCAGTATTTTCCAGAGATATCTGTACTCCCAGCGTTATTTCAGCATTATTAGCAATAACCAAGATCTGGAAACAACCTAAATGTCTGTCAGTGGGTGAGTGAATTTTAAAGATTCTGAATATATATACTGTATAGCAGAGGGAATATTATTCAGCCTTGATGCTGCTGATTTGAGGCATTATGCCTATTTATTTGCATACGTTGAACCATTCTTGCATTTCTGGGATGAATCCCACTTGATTATGGTGAATAATTTTTTTAGGGTACTGTTGAATTCTGTTGGCTAGCATTTTGTTGAGGATTTTTGCATCTATGTTCATCAGAGATATTGGTCTGTAGTTTTCTTTTTCTAGTGTGTCTGTTTGGTTTTGATACCGGGATGATTCTGGCCTTGTAGAATGAGTTTAGAAGTGTTTGGTGTTCTTCAATTTTTGGAAGTAGTTTGAGTAGAATCAGAATTAGTTCTTCTTTAAATGTTTGGTAGAATCCAGTAAGGAATATATCAGGTCTGGGGCATTTTCTTGATGGGAAACTTTTTATTACTGCTTTAATCTCATTCCTCATTATTGGTTTGTTCAGGTTCTGTATTTCTTTATGGTTTAATCTGGGTGGGTTGTCCAGTAATTTTTTTGTTTTTTTTCTAGGTTTTCAAATTTGTCTGTGTACAGTTGTTCATAAGTCTCTAATTATCCTTTATATTGTGGTGATATAAGTTATTATGTTTCATTTTTTATCTGATTTTATTTTTCTGGGGCTTCTCTCTTTTCTTCTTGGTCTAGTTTAAGTTTTGTCAATAGATGCTGAAAAAGCATTCAATAAAATTCAGCATCTCTTGGTGGTTAAAATCCTTCAAGACATTACCTGTAGAAGGAACATGCCTCAACGTGATAAAACCCACACCTAATACCATACTGAATGAAGAAAAATGGAAAGGCTTTCTACTAAGTGTAAAAGAAGACAAGGATGCCCACTTTCACCACTTTAATTCAGCATAGGGTAGAAGTCCTAGCCAGAGTAATTAGCCAAGGAAAAGAGATAAATGGCAACCAGATTTGAAAGGAAGAAGTCAAATTATCCTTTTTTGCAGATAATGTGATACTATATTTAGAAAAACTAAAGACGCCACCAAGAAACTCTTAGAACTGATAAATTTAGCAAAGTGGCAGGATACAAAATCAACATACAAAAATCAGCAGTGTTTCTAGACCCTTATAGAAATCTATCTGAAAAATAAATCAAGAAAACAATCTCATTTATAATAGCCACAAAAAATAAAATAGCCAGAAATAAATTTAACCAAAGAAGTGAAAGAACTACAACGAAAGCTAAAAGCGTTGATGAAAGAAATAGAAGAAGACACAAACAAATGGAAAGGTGTCTCAACCTCATGAACTGGAAGAATTAATATTGTTAAAAAGTCTACAGTATTCAAAGTAATATACAGATTCAGTGCAATCTCTGTTGAAATACCATGTGAGCCAATTCACCCTAATAAACTCCCTTTCATGTATACATATATCCTATTAGTTCTGTCCCTCTGGAGAACCCTGACTAATACAACAGAAAAAAAAGGCTTCACATTTTTATGGAACCATAGAAGACTCCAAATAGCAAAAGTGGTCCTGAGCAAAAAAGAATAAAGCTGAAGGCATCGTGCTACCTGATTTCAAATTATACTACAAAGTTCTACTAACCAAAACAGTATAGTACCGGCATAAAAACAGACGTATGGACCAAAAAAACAAAACAGAAAATCCAGAAATAAATCTATAAACTTACAGCCTATTTTTAAACCTTACTGCAAATAATGATTAATAAATAATCAACTACAATTTTAGAGTGTTCCTATTAATTGTGGTTACAAGAGTGTATACATTTGGTAAAACTAATTGAATTGCATATTTTAAAAAGGAGTTTTATTGTGTGAAAATTATACATCAATAAAAGTGATTTAGATTTAAAAACTAAGGATTTATTCCATATAATGTGTGTATATAAAAATATATGTGTATATATACACATACACACACTTATATTTACATGTCTACTATGTGTACATACAATCTGAAGGAGGAGTCCAGGGAGATTGTTAGTGGAAGGAGTGGGGACCGAGGAACACAAGAGTGAAGAGGTGATAGTGAGAAGGAGGATGAAGTCGGCCTCCTGGCCATGCCTGAGGGACACAGTTACATACACGAAAGGAACCAGAAGTTGAAAGAACAATGCTTCTTAAAACTACTTCAGTCCCTTCGTTTAAAAGGAAAACACAGAAAGAAGAAAAAACACAAAACACACAAAAATGCAAGCTTTTTCCTCCTGAACCCTTTCCCCATCCTCTGTCCACCAAGGCCTCAGCAGCCACCAGCAGACACAGGGGAGCAGAACAAGGATGACACAAACGGGAAAATCAAGCAGGCTAGTAACAAGTTGGGGAGCAGATTCTGGACTTTATTTCTTCAGTTTAGGCAGCAGAATACAGCAGTGTGAGCTGCGCAGGCACTAGGTGTGTGCTTTGGCGTTCCCAGGGAAGCCATGGATATGCAGAAGAAAGTCTCTGAAGGCCATTAAAGAGAAAGATTTTGGGTTTCCTGACACCAGGCCAGAGGGATTCTCCAGGCAAGACTTCAAGCTTTTGCTGGAACCTCTCAGCTCTTCAGGCAGAATCGGAAGGAAGACGAAGTCAAGGTCCACTTCAGCAACAGCCTCCAGAATGCTGGCCGCTGCCCCCTCCGCAGCAACTGGAGCCCCCCGATGGCTGGCTGCAGCAGTCAGAGCTCTGAGGTCTGTGGCAGTGGGACCTGCGGTGCCTGTGGTGGCTCAGGCAGCAGCCACCTCCCCCAGAACTGCAGCAGCCCCCAGAGCTGGAGCCACAGCAGCCTCCGGAGCTGACACTGCAGCAGGAAGAGACTGGAGGGCACTTAGGGGGACACTTTGGGGGACACTTAGGGGCGGGGCACTTGGGAGTGCACTTAGGGGTGCACTTGGGAGGGGGCTGACACTGCTGCTGGCTCTGCTGGCAGGACATCTTGGCGGTGGGTGTTCAGGAGCTGAAGGAGAGTCAAATAACAAGTCAGACGCAGGCAGGGGCCACCTCTGCCCCTGTGACACTCTTAACATCTCTCACGTATAAATGCATCATCTTCAGTAGTTTTATTTCCAATAACTTCCTCAAACTCTCACATCACCTTTTTCAAGCTTCGGATATCTTTGAATGTCAGACAATTGTAAACTAAGACTAAACAATATTGCAAAATGCATCTAAGATGCTAATGTGTTGTCAGTGGAGGAAGAAATTATTACAAATATGTCTTCAGACTGAAATTGTCTGATTTACGAGTCATTTAAGGAAAATTTATTTTTAAAGGAGAAGAGGCAGTCATTCTCTCTGGTCATAACTTGCAAGACAATTTTACTTGGGAAGGTCAGCATTGCACAGGATCTTGGAGACTACTAGTCAGTAAACTCACTTCGATAGAGACAGATAAACTCAGCAACTGCTGCAGACCTAGTACTTGAACCCTGACCCCCTGATCTCAGGTTGGAGCTCAGACTTCCTCACTCACCATCTGCTCAGGCTGATGGGCTGACACAGTGGGTCTCAGGCTTGGTGAGTGCTAACCAAGCTGGGAAGTTTGTGAACAAATCTCAGACCCATGAAAATGTGGGGTTCACAAACCCCAAAGAGCCTTTAGTCCCATGTCCACAGCTCTAGTTCTTCCCTTGTGGCAGAGACAGGGTTGTATCTTCAGAAGTGGGCTTCCCTCCCGTGGGCTGCCAGAGTGGAGCAGGTCTCTCTGCTTCAAGGTTCCCATTCTGGACCACCCACCTCATCCCAGAGCAGTTCGTTTCCTCTGGAGTTCAAAGGCACATGGCACAGCCAGCCAGCTCTTTTCCTCTTCTCCTTTCTGCTCCCAGTTAGTGCCAGACCCCTTTCTGCCCCTGCCCCTTCAGTCTTTTCTAAACTCTCCACCTCTGACAACATGGCCCTAGCCCCTGAGGCCCCGCCCTTCCTTCCCTCCTGCTCTGTTCTAAGCATCCCTGCTGCTGTTCTTACCGGGGTCACAGGCAGCACAGGGTTCTTCAGCACCTCAGGAGGTGAGTGGATGGGTGGTCTGGCCCGGAGCCCTTTTATCCTGGCCTGGGCTCTGCCCCAGCTGTGAGACAGGGCCTGGGCATGAGAAGACCTTCCTTCTGACACCCACGTGGGAATTGTGATGGGTGGTGACTGACAGCTCCACACCTACCTCTCTTCCCCAGGCTCAAAGCAGCCACTCCCAGATAGGAAAGTGCCTACTTGAAATGGGGTTCCAGATAACTCCTACCATCACCCACCTCATTTACTTGAAGGCTGCTTCCCTGAGAGCCTCTCAGTTCTCAGTCTTAGAACTTAGGACCTATCTCATTTCTGTCTCTTCCGAAGTACCTGATGCTCCATGTAGCCTGGGTTGAAGTTGAAGTACTAATCCCTGAGGTTTCCATGCATGTTTACTTCTGTCCCTGTGCACCACCAAGCTGTGTGGCTGTGGGTGCAATGTAGACATCTATACAAGTAAAACCCTTGAAGTAGAACCCGGCCCAGGACTAGGCCCTGCGAGGTGGAACTGTTGAAACTATTTAGCCTGTACGGTTTTTTAAACCATAAAGCTGGAAGATGAAAAAGAATTAGTTACAGAAGAATTAGTTAGTTGTGAAAGTCAATAAATTAACACAAAAAAGAGATAAGATGCCTGACAGAGAGACTGAAACATTCTAGGCTCTGACTAAGTGAAACATTCATACCTTGCTGAATACAGAGTGAATATACTGATCTTAAACAAAGCGCAGCTTTTTTCTAACGAGAGTGAGTCTGGCTGTTGGTGATCTGTTTGCTTTTAAATAGCCCTTTTCTTCTGGTGGGGTCTTTGATGTGTCAGCACTGAGATGTGACCCAGGAAGCGGCTCATCAGAGAAACAAGAAGCCCCAGCTGTGCTCTTAGTATTAGTGTGAGAATCTGGACTTTTCTGGGTTCACACTGGGAGCACCGGATGACGGTCACAGATGAGAAAGAGAAAGAAAAGAGACATGGTTGTGAGACATTATAAGTCTATGCTTCCATGTGGGGTCAAATGGCTGGTGGGACCCCGTCCTGGAACATAAGGGGACGGGTGCCTTTTAAGAACAGGAGTCCTTAATATTTAATGTGAATGTGTTTATGCTGCTACTTTGGAGGCCCCTATCCTCTCTCTCCACTAGAATCACTAGCTTTCTACATGTCCACAGGATTTATATGAATGGAATGCTTTGAATTTTTACATTTTTAGGATATTAATGAAATGGGCTCCTGTTCATTCTAGGACACACTAGTCACTAAGACAGCCATGACTGCAAGGTTATCCACAAATTAAACTATTTCTTCAGAGGAAGACCAAGAAAAGCCAGATTAAATCATATGAGGGACAAGTCCTCTTCCTCCCAGCCCCTGACAGACTCTGGATATGCCCAGAACTTGGGAATGATGTCTAGGTCACAATGGACATGGTGACCCTAACCAAAACGTGGTGGAGATACATGTGTATTTATAAACACATACACAGAGCTTACATATTGAGAGAGAGGTGTGTGTGTGGGTACCCCCTTTCTCAGAGCATCAACTATTACAGCTGCCTAGACTCCTCTGACAACGTAGTATCTCCAAACACTTGTAGTGTATCTTTGATTCTGTTCTTTTATGACATCCAAGAAAACACTCTCCCATCCCTGTGCATAATTAACGCTAAGTCATTAGTAAAGTCTTGTTCATGATTACACACTGTATAAGGATAAATGTCCAAATTCCTGCAGTGAAATAATACTTTGTGTTCTCCCTTTAGTTTAAGTCTTTGTTGTCTACTCTCAGAAATGTTCTGAAACGGAACTGGATTATATTCTGTACTTTGATTATGCTTCTCCCTGCAGTGCATGCCATGGCCTCTGTCCTTCCAGGACAGTGTGGCTCAATCTCAATTTTTTTCCCTTCCTGTGGCGTATCACTCTAATGACATAATAGTAAATTCTTTGATGGCCTGCCTTGGGTGTTTCATATTTCTTTACCTACATTTTTCAACACAAGGCTATGCGCACAATGGATATTTAATGACTTTTAAATCCTCTCATTGGTATTAGCATTGGTTTACAGTTTATAAATAGCTATTCCTTATGACTCAGGTCACCCTCATAGGAGACACACTCTGAGACAGGCTCATTGAGGTGTGTGGGCCACATCACCCTGAGAGGTCTGCCACCGTCTCTCCTGGGTATGACGTTTGTTCTCCTGCTCAGATTGTTCCAAAGGGCTTAGTAATGGAGGAGTGGTCAGGACATTGGTTCCCAGGTTGTCACAATGGCAGGTCTACTCAGAAGTTCAACTCCTGGTATCTAGGATGATGGGGCTGGGATGATGGGGCTGGGATGATGGGGCTGGGATGCCATCTGGTCCATGCCTCCGTCTTTATGCAGGGCAACACCCAAGCTCTCAACTGACCTAACTTGGATGTAGGTGATGAGTCAGCAACATAGTTGTATTAGGAAGATTGGAACTTGAATCTTGGCTGTGAGATATCGTGGCTTTGCTATTAGGTCAAATAGGATATCTTGTCCAGCAAAGTATTGACTTTCTGAAATTTCCTATTTGTCAAGGTGTTTTCTCTTTTAGGTAGTCAAAAATTCACCAACTTATGGGAAGTGAGTGAATACTATTGAGATCTAACCAGAAATAATTCAAATGGAATAATTTTTGTGTGTGTGTTCTATAACCAGTAACAAGTTAAGTTAGTAGTCTTTGTTTTGTTCTTTCCATATCTACAACCCTTTAAACAATTACAGTGATGAAAAAATGCTATTAAAGTCTGGAAGAAAATTCTGTTCTATTTAAATAGTATCTTTTAAAAATATTTTTATTGCGGTTATTGTTATAATTGTTAATATATCGATATACTGCAACTGTGCTGAACTCTCCTAAATTCTTGCAGTGAACACTTTTCTTAAAAAATTTGGCAAAATACATAATCCAAAATTTACTGCCTTAATCATTTTTTTAGTGTACAGTTTAGTAATGTTAAATAGAATCACATAGTTGTATAACCGATCTCTAGAATTTTTGTCTTCTTGCAACACTGAAACTCTACACCCATTAAACAACAGTTCTCTCTTACTCCCTCTCCCCAGCCCCTGGCACTCACCATTTTACTTTCTGTTTCTATGAAAAAGACTACTCCTTGTATCTCACATAAGTGGAATCGTACAGTGTTTGTCTTTTTGTGACTTTTTGATTTAGCATATCTTTAGGATTCATTCATATTGTAGCATGTGCATAAATTTCTTAGCTTTTTAAGGCCATGTAATATCACATTGTATGTATATGCCTCCTTTTGTTTCTATAATCATCCAGCGGTGAATGCTTGCTTTGCTTCCACCTTTTAGCTATTGTGAATAATAAAGCTATGAATACGGGTGTACAAGTAACCTGTCAAGACTCTACTTTCAATCCTTTTGTATTGCATATACCCAGAAGTGGAATTGCTGGATCATATGTTAATTCTATTAACTTTTTGAGGAATCACCATGCTCGTTTTCATAGTAATTATACCATTTTACATGCTCACCAACAGTGCACAAGCATTCTAATTCCTCCACATCCTCACCAACACTTGTCATTTTCTGTTTTGTTTTGCTTTATTTTTTATAGTCGCCATTCTCTTGGGTTTGAAGTGGTATCTCATTGTGGATTTTTCTTTAAATAATTTAATCTAATTATGAATGGTGTTGAGTATATTTTCATGTATCCTTTGGCCATTTGTAAATTTCTTTTGGATAAGTGCCTATTCAAGTCTTTTTTTCCCATTTTTAATAAGGTTTTTTTGTTTACTTGTTTAATTGTGGGGGTTCTTTACATATTTTGGATAGCAACCCATTACCAGATACATGATTTGCTAATATTTGCTCCCATAACAAAGATTTCCTTTTCATGGTATTGATTTTGTTCACTGATGCACATACATTTCTAATGT